CCCGCCGGCCCCCCCCCTGCCCCGCCCCGGCCCGCCAAGAGCCTCTCCCTTCCCTGCACTCCAAGAACCCCTCCCCTCTAAGGGTCCCGCGGGCATCAAGACCACCCCAAGTACCGGGGAGGGTCCACTGCCTCCTTCAAGACCCCCAGCCCAACTCCCGGCAGGGCCTTCCCTCCTAAAGGTGGGGGGCTGTGGGCAGAGAGGCCTCCCCCCAAGGAAGAGAGGTTCTCCCCTCTTTGCTTCCCCCAGCGGGACCCTCCCAGAACCTAGCCAATCCCCCCCCCCCCAGCGGCTGAAAGTCCCTGTGGCACCCCAATTTTCAGGGGCAAAGATGATCTGGCAGTTGGGGGGGGGGGTCTCAGGCTTCCTCCTGGTAAGGACCGGAGGCTGAGGGACCCCACCTTCCTGCCTTCCCAAGGGGCACCTCCGGCCTGGCAGTGCCCCATCCAGGGTCTGAGCCGGAAGAGCCGTCATTATGCGTCACCCACCCACCCCCTGCAGCGTTTCCATGAGGACGCGACTCGCTGCCCTCCACCACAGCAGGGGACAGAGGGTGGTTGCAATTGTCCTTGTCACAGGTTTTGGGGCAGGGCCCAGCCCAGGCACCCCCCCCCTCCAAGGGAGACCTCCCGCCTCCTCGCTCCCCCCCTCCCGTTCACCAAGGGGCAACCGGGCAGCCTCCCCACCTGCCTCTGGCACTAACCTCTCCAGGTCCACGGGCTGCTGACCCTTTCCAAGGGGGGGAGTTCCTCCTCCTGCACCCCCCTCCCATCGCCCCCCACCCCACCATGCACAGATAGGTGGGTGCCCGGATGGCCCATGTGGCTGTGCTCCTCCGCCCTCCCACACGTGGCATGCTCTTGGCAGACAAGACGAGAGATGGAAGGAAAGGGGGGCCATGACGGGTGGACAGCGGTGGCGGTGGTGGGGGATGACATGCCGGGCACAGCAACAGAGGACCTCCTACTCAGTGGCGCCTCTGGTCCCCCTGGCCAGCGGGGGGACGGGAGGCCACGGGGAAAGAAAGGGGCGGAGAGCATCCCCCTCCCAGCCAAGGGAAGGTGGGGGGTCTGGGGAAGCAGTGCCTGCAGGACCCACCTGGTCTGCCCCACATGGATGGCGGGGTGCCCTGGTCCCTCAAGTGACAAAACCGGGGCCACACAGAGTTACCTGGTAAACAGCTAGGATGAAAGGGAGAAAACACAAGGGGATCAGGGGGGGCCGGGGCAGCCGCAGGGCCGCAGAGAAGGGAGGCAGTCGGGGGGCTGCTGTGGGGTGACTTGCCAGACCCACAAGAGACCCACGCTCCACCCACAGGTGCGTTTCTCAGGGAGGGGGCCAAAGCATCTGGGTCTGGGGAGGCCCCCTCCGCCCAACCACTGGGGGCCCGGTGGCCTTCTGGCCGGAGGGGGGGCCGAGGGGAAGGAGGGGAGCTGCCCTGCCCCCTTCCATCTGGGCTACACCTCCTGCGACCCCCTGGGCTGCTGTCTCCAGGTTCCCCCTCCGCTTCTTCCTTGCCCCCACCCACCCGGCTGCCCCACGGCCCTCTCGGAGGGCAGGGCTGGGCACGGAGGGGGCCAGGAGAGCTGACCCCGCTGCCAGGGGCCCCTCTTCCCGAGGCTCAGGAGGAGGACGAGCAGCCACATCCGGAGGAGCAAGCGGGGGGGAGGGGGGAGACGAGGACGGGAGGGCGGGGCGGATGGAGGATGGAGACATGGGAAAGGACAATGACATTGTAATTTCCACCTGAGCGTCGAGCAGCCGCTTCCGGGGTTCGGAGGTGTCGAGGGCGGCCGAGTGATCCCTGCGCAGCTCCTCCTCCACTAGCATCAGCCTGCAGGGACAAGCTTCACTGGAGTCAATCCGGGCCCCCCCCACCCGGCAGGCAGGCGGCGGGAGCCGGGGCCGCCAGCAGCTGCGGGAACGGGGGCTCCCCAAAGCGACGGGGCCCCACAGACTGCAGCTGGGGCCCCGCCGGTGAGGAGCGCCCCTTCCCACATGCCCCGCCAGCCCCTCCCGTTGCCAGTGGACCCCCTCACCTCCCCCACGAGGTGAGGGATCCAAGGGGGCCCCCCTCCCATGACCCAGGGCCCCCCCCAGAGGTTCCCCCCGTGGCAGCCCCGCCCTGCAGCTCACCTGCCGATGATGCTCTTGATCTGCGAGTCCTTTTCCACCTGCTGCTGGCGGAGGCGCTTCTCGCTGTGCTCCAGGCGCTGCTGGTACTGCTGGAGGATCTTGCTGGTTTGCTCCTCCTGGCTCATCAGGCGCCTCTCGTACTCCTCCAGCTTCCGGTTGGACATGTGCAGGCGCTCCTTCAGCGAGTGGATCTCCTCCTCGTACTCCTTCACCTGCAACGGGGGCGAGAGGAGCCCCAGGGCGGGTCAGTCCTACGGCACCGGGGCCTACGGGGGGCCCTCCCTCTCCCTCTCCCAGCCCGAGGGGGGTGGCACCCGGCAGAGGGAGGCTCACGCGGTCCAGCCGACTCTCATCCATGGACTTGGAGTACTCCTTCAGCTTGAACTCCTCCCGCTCAATGTGGGAGCTCTCGATGTCTGCCGAGAGGTGGGGCATGTTGGAGACCCAGGCCACAGTCCGCTCCGAGGCCGGCAGGATGGGGTTCAGCGTCGAGGGTGTGTGAGAGGTCTGGCGGGGCAGAGGAGTGATGAGGTCAGTCCACACTTGTCCGAGTCTTCCAAATGGCAATGTGCCAAAAAAAAAAAACCTTATCGGTCTTGCGGGGGAGGAGGGAAGAGGGCGACACCAGGGCATGAGGGTCAGCAGGAAGCCCTGGGCCACCAACACGGGGCCTCCAGCGCTCCGTCTGGGAGACTAGACACCCTTTTTCGGTCCCTAGCCCAAGACGGGCCAGGGAGAGGTGGTGGGGCACCCATGGCCCCCTTTTCCTTGCCTGCTATTCACACCCCCTTCTTCCAAATTCTCAGGAACTGCAACCAACCGAAATGTTCAATAGCCCAAGAGGATTAGACCATCGCCAACATTGGTAAGGTTGGTTTGAGTTGGGGTTCACCACCACAGTTGGACCCCAGGCCCCACGCTCTGCTCAGGTTTCCTGGCATGAGGATCTGGGGGGGGGGGGATGCTCTTGGTGGGCCATGAGAAAATTTTGGTGGGCTGCAGAGAAATGTCACCCCCAGAACACCCCCCAAAGCAATTAATCCAGGCTGCACAGGAACACAAGGCTGTGATGCCCACATGGCCCGCGGGAACCCTCCCTGCCCACTCACTCCTTACCCGACAAACTTGCCTGCTAAATTGCTATTTTTCGAACCATCAGCTGTTCTGCTTGGGAGATTTAGATTATCTAGGAAGCAGGAAATGGTTGGATTTCTTGCTTTCTAGCTAGTCTTTAGATCTTTGGCTCTGCTTTTAAGCACAGCCAAACCTCCCTTAGGACTGAAGGTCCTATTATTCAGTGCAGACTCCCGGCAAGCAAATTTGAGAGACTGAGCTAGCCGATGGCACATAGATAGATCACTGAATGTTTCTGTGAGCAACTCAATCTGCCTGCCTGCTTTGCCTGATTTTGGGTAAAAGTTGCTCTTTTTAAATAAAAAAAAAATCAATATTTACATACATGGTGTGTTGTGAGTTAATTCTGTGAGTTTGCTTGCAAGCAAATTTCATGTGACAGACTGAGCCAGGCAATGGTAGATAGATAGATCTCTGGATGAATCTGTGAGTCTGTGAGCAACTCAATCTGTCTGCCTGCTTTGGGGTAAAAGTTGCTCTTTTTAAATAAATATTTTATAAATATTTATAATATTTACATACAAGCCATGCCCAGCCAGTCACATGACCATGAAGCCATACCCACAAATTAGGCCACGCTCACAGAATCAGTTAGTGGTCCCTGGGATTTAAAATTATGCGTCTGGGGGTCCCTGAGGTCCAAAAGGTTGGCGACCCCTGGAAGTAGATCCTTCCCTAAGAAGCTGATTGGTGCCCCCACCCCCTCATTTTGGAGATAGTCAAATCTCGCGCCCTTTCCAAATTCCAAACTGCCATCTCTGTGATGCCAGAGGACCTCAAAAGTTGAGAAAACCACGTTCTCTTCCCTTCCTCCAGCCTCTCTGCTGTGTCAGGGATTGATCGATTGATTTACAAACTCAAGGTTAACCGCACCAAACTTGATGGCAGGAAATACGACTTCAGCCACAGAGCGGTCAATGTCTGGAATACTCTACCTGACTCTGAGGTTTCTTCCCCAAACCCCAAAAACTTTAACCTCAGACTGTCTACTATGGACCTCACCCCTTTCCCAAGAGGCCTGTAGGGGGCGTGCATAAGCGCACCAACGTGCCCACCGTCCCTGTCCTATTGTTTCTTTTATTTTTCTTATACGTACCCATTTTGTGTACTCATAACTATGTTTATTCTTATACCTGTATCTTGTAAGTCAGGGGTCCCCAACCGCCGGTCCGCGGACCGGGACCGGTCCACGGAACAAGTCTTACCGGGCCGCTGGTTGCTGGGCGCCGCCATCTTTTTTTGGTAAAAAAGTGCTTCCGGTGAGCTTTTCCGGGTAGAAAGCTCACCGGAAGCACTTTTTCATCAAAAAAAGATGGCGGCGCCCAGTTGATGCCGGTACCGGGCCGCGGCGTCAAAAAGGTTGGGGATCACTGTTGTAAGTGACTGACAAATCAAATAAGTCAATAAAATAAAATAAATTTCATTTCTGTAGCCACCCATCTCATTCCTGACAAAATCCCAGAGGTTTTGAAGTCCCTGCATGAAAAGGTGCGTGGGGGGGGGGCTCTCTGCTGCCCCAGCCCTGGAAGGCCTCACAGAGCCTCCCCTCACCAACCCTGCACTGCTCCCGCCATTCAGGGGGAGGGAGAGGGGCCACGCTTCCTGGGGGGGCCTTTTGGGCGTCAGGGTTCCTCCTGGGCCTCCTTCCTTCAGCTCGTGTCTCCTTGTTGAGCGAGGACAGAAAGCCAGGCTCACAGTGGGCGTCCGCCGGAATCCCTTGGGATTCCCACCGTCCCTCGCGTGCCAGGGCAGGGCAGGGGGTGACACCAATAAGCGCTCAGGCTTACATGCCACTTTCACAGGGCTTTCACAGCCCTCTCTAAGCCATTTGCAGAGTCAGCCTCTTGCCCCCCAACAATCTGGGTCCTCGTTTTACCCACCCTCGGAAGGACGGAAGGACGAGTCTGAACTGACGGCAGTGGGAATGCAGAGTGGGAATGCAGAATTCCCACAGAACTGAAGGGCACACTTTCTCTACAAGCTCACTTCCTCCTCCCTGCCCGGGGGGGGGGGGCCCAGGAGGAGGGGGGATGCTAACATCCAGCCACAACTGCACAGATTCCTCTTGTGTCTGGTTCTTGGTGCTTGGAGCTGAATTGCGGCCAGTTGGGGAACGATCCCTGCAGCCGTTGCCGTTGGGGTGACGGTTGAAGATTATTCCTCAAGAAGCAGCCAGTCCTCTCCCGGGGACCAATAAGAGCAGGGCCCCAGTTTGTCCACTTCTTTGGGTTTAGGGCCCTTGGCTGCCCCGTGACCCGAGGGGAAAAGAGAGCCAGTCCTGGGGGCCCCAGCCGAGCTCCCAAAGGCTCCCTGCATTTCAGCGCTGGGAAGCGACTGGGTGGGCTGGAGCAAGACTGTCCAGGGCGGGAGAAGCCCCCGGGCAGCTAGAGCTTCACTCTGAATGGCGAGGACTCCGTCCTTGTTCCCTTTTCATGTTCCGGATGCAAACTCATCCCCAAAAGGAGAACCTTTGGGCAACGGGCGGATGCCACGCACGCAGCCTCAAGGAGGGCTGTAACGTCAACATGGCTGCCAGGGAGTGTGTGGAAAGGCCTGCCGGCAAGGCGCCGGGCCAACCATTGGGGAGTACAGGAACAAGACCAGAGGCAAAGGCGGATCTCGGAAAAGATTCCCTCCTCCCAGCAAAGGGGGAGGGTGAGAAAGAAACTCAAGAAACGGCCACTTGGCGTCACTAGGCCGCTTTGACCGATTCCCCAAGTGGCCTGGAAGATGGTTGCCGAAGTTCAAGCCACTCCCGTTTGCTGGTTTTGCTGCCAGCCAATGTTTCTCTACACCGGAGCATCGCCCTCTGGGACGGTCCAGGCTTTTCCTAACTGGCAGAGGAATCACGGCGGAGGTGCTCAGGTGGAGCCCGGAAGGAAGACCAGGCCATGCCCTCCTGCCTGTGCGTCTCCTCCACTCCCGGCCTCGGCTTTCTCAGCACAAGGCAGTCCGCCAGTCACTGTGCCAATCCAAAGGGCTGGTGGGGAACCAGGCAGGGGTTCCCTGGTTCTTCTGAAAGGAGTGGACTGCAGCCGTGCCTGTCCCTGGACACTGGGCACCTCTAGCTGGCTGGGCTCACAATGACCCTGGGGGACAAAGAGGGCAAGAACCCACCGGTGGTTGCTTCCTGGACCATTCATGCGGATTCCCGCGTCCTCTGAACCAGGATCGCCACTCCGTTTGGCAGCGCGGCAGCCGTGGTCGTGGCGATTGCCTGCGGCAAAATCTGTCCTGTGACTCTGAAACATCAACACTGTGGCTTTCTGACACGACACACCTGTCCTTCTGCCCTGAGCGCAGGGGTGGGAGTCAAATTTTTTAACAACTGGTTCTGTGGGCATGGCTTAGGTGGTGGGCGTAGCTTGGTGGGTCATGTGACTGGGTGGACATGGCTTGGTGGTCATGTTATTGGCTGGGCGTGGCCAACTCAGTATCTCTCACATCGAGGCACGCATCTCTTCGCCTGGCCTCTCGTGACTGTGGGGATGCTGCAACAGTCGTACGTGTGAAAAATGGTCATAAGTCACTTTTTTCAGTGCCATTGTAACTTTGAATGGTCACTCCACACAATCAAAGTTCCAACAAAGGAGGGGGGAAAAACTCCAGAGACGTTCCTGAGACAGGAAGTCTAGTCCTGCCAAGAATGTAATAAGGGTCAACGGAGAGGCAGTTTCTGTAAGCAACACCAGAATGTTTCCTTCCTGCTTTCCTTACAGGATTAGCCCAGTAATTTCTTCTAACAACCGGTTCTCCGAACTGCTTAGAATGTTAATAACCGGTTCTAGCGAATAGGTGTGAACCGGTAGAATCCCACCCCTGCCTGAGCACCTTCTCCATCCACACTGAGAGAAAGGCTGCTACCCCACATCATGGGGTGGGGAGAGGCGGCAGAGAGAGGCTTTGCAGGATCAAGTCACAGGGGACAAAGGCTTATTCTTCCAAGCTCTCTCGCTCGCTCTCCAGAATATGTGCACTGGGCTGTTCTACACATTGTGTTTCTATGATGCCTGGTCATATGTAGCTTTTAGTTGTTGATGAGGGTGCCGATGCCTGTCATTGATTGTTGTTTCCTTGTGCCACTGTGCCCTCCACTCCCAAGTATCTGATGAGCCAAGGGTAACAGTTTTACACTTAGGCAAGGAAAACCAACCGTATAGCTGCAGATTAGGTGAAACCTCACTTGATAGCCATTATGCTGTCCAACCAGTATATAATAAGGGGAACTGAAATAGTTAAGTTAGAATTGGGAGCTGTCCCCTTAAGGGTAAATCTGTACTCCTGATTGATTGACTGAATTGACCCTTGGTTGGGTTGGGGGAGGCCCTTGGCTGGTTCCTCCAATCCATCGCTATGGGATGGAGAGAACCGTCTTTTTACACTACGATTTCAACTATGCAAATAATTGGACAGTAGATGCATCTCGACATGAGTTACCTTGAGGATACCTGATATAATCCAATAAAAGAAACTTTGTATGGAAGAATTTGTAGAGTTGTCTGTCTGTCTTTAGATTCAGCAAGCGAATCAAGAGGACAGAAGAGCAGTCATGGTGAGACGAATCTTGGCATATCCTCCTGGGCCATCAAATACGAGCCAGGAGTGTTGCGGCAGCAGCCGGAAAAGCCAATGCAATCCTAGGCTGCTTTCATAGAGGGACACACTCAAGATCACGCGAAGTGTCGATACCGCTTCATAAAGCCTTGTGAAGACCGCACTATAAAAAAGATGTCGACACTCTGAAGAGCGCAGAGAAGAACAGCGAAGAGGATTAGGGGCCTGGAGGCTAAAACATATGAAGAATGATGGTGGCAGGAACTGGGTATGTCTAGTTTAAGGAAAAGAAGGACTAGGGGTGACATGATAGCAGTGTTCCAATATCTCAGGGGCTGCCCCAAAGAAGAGGGGGTCAGGCTATTCCCCAAAGCACCAGAAGGCAGGACAAGAAACAATGGATGGAAACTCATCAAGGAGAGAAGCAACTTAGAACTAAGGAGAAATTTCCAGACCGTGAGAATAAACCAAGGCAACGGCTTCCCTTCAACAGTTGTGGGGGCTCCATCACTGGAGGCTTTTAAGAAGAGACTGGACAGCCGCTTATCTGGAATGGTAGAAGGTCTCTGGCTTGAGGTTGGACTAGAAGATCTCCAAGGTCCCTTCCAACTCTGTTATTCTGTTAAATCAGCACTTGTACTGACTGACAAGGGCCCCGTTTTCAGTCATTTCTCCGGCTGTTTTTGTCTCGGCTTAGCCAACAATCGCAGTAGCTGCATAATTGAATGCAAAGTCCTCCTTATTCATTGCAGCGTGAGGCTATCGATGAGTTCGGGGTCTTTTTCCAGAGGGCTCCTCCCCAGTCCTACAGGCTGTCAGAAGTAATGGCTGACTTCTCTGGCTGACCCCAACAGCGGTCTCTTTCGTGGGCGTGTGTAGGAACCAGACGCCCATCCTGTGGCCAAGCACAGCATCCGACCTGCGGAAGACGCCCTACCCCTCCTCTGTCCCTGGGAGGCTCTTCTGGGCCTCTTTCATTCCTTCTCCACACCTGAACACTTTTGCTGCTTTTGCGCTTTTAAGGCTGGGGTGACAGAAGAAGAAGGACACCCAAGGGAGAAGTCAAAAATAAGGACCCCCTCTCTGTCCTGGCACGTTTTGAGGGATGTTGGGCAAAAAATGTTGCCATGGGACCAGCAAGCTGGGACCTGCGGGGAGCTGAGAACGACCCTCCCACTCTTGTCTCGACTCCTGAGGATCACGGAATCCCCAAAGGATTCAGGGATTCCAAGAGGACATCCAGGCGGGTCCCCCACACACATTGCAAGATCCATCACACCTGCTCCAGGGCAGCTGGGTATCGGGCAAAGTCTTCCGGCGGTTCAGGGAGTGGCTCCGGTTGCTGCCTTTGGGGAAAGGAGGCTGACTTCAAGCACATCAGAGAAGGTGCTGCGAGAACATGCGGAGGAGACCACCCATCGCGATACCAATGACATCAATGCCTGCAGACCATCAGGGTCCGAATGAGACTCGCCCCTGCACAGAGGGGCTGTGGGTTCAAGAGACAGCCCATCCCCATCTTAGCCCTAAATGGAGGGCAATCTGGGGGGGGGCTCTTGGACTCTCCAATCCTGCCCACTGGGGGAAACGTTCCTGGGTCAAAAGCTGGCACTCGTGCTCTTGTCGTCACAGCGCACCACGATACGCTCCAGGTAGGACCGCCCCTTTGGAGCCCCCGGAACTTCCTCCAGCATGCAGTGCAGCCGCTTGCATGTTCCCCCAGAGCCCACCAGGGACTCTCGGGTCCCCTGAGCTGCGTCCGCTGTTCCCGTTTATCCCCACTCCTGTCCTGTCCCTCTGAAGTCCTCCGTGTTCTGCAGGCTCCAGATCAGCTGCTCCAAAGAGAAACCCGCTTGCGGAGGCTGCCTGCTAAGAGGCGCCGTCCCACAGCAGTGGCAACTCTGCAGGAGCTTCACCCCCCCACACACACACAGACTGCCCTCCCTGCAGAGAGAAGAGTGACACCCTCACCCCCCCCCCGGAAGCCCTCCCAGTTTTGGGGGGAGGAGAGCAGCAGACTAGCCAAGCTGAGCTGGTTCCGGTCCTTTGACGTTAAGATACAAACCCTTGCGGTGAAACAAACCGTACAACGGCCTCTCGCTTGCCAGAGTGGGGGCTTTGGGAAAAGTCCTAGGTGGGATGCCTTCCTCCTCCTCTTTATGAAGGAGAGACCCAAATCCCAAAGCGGGGGGGGAGGGCAAATAAACGGGTCCCCTTTCTTCTGTATAATTCAAAGCTGATCCGAGCGAGCCCCGAGTCCACTCTTGGAAGGGAAGCCTCTGTGAGTCCTTGGGGGCAGCGGCGGCTACGGTCCTGCCTGGGAGTTGGGTAGCCTCACTTCCCAGCACAAGGAGGGGGGCTGTGGGGTGAGCCCCTGGCTTCCCTGGAAGGCCTCTGGGAGGAAGACCTGCCCTCTCTGGGAACTAAGGGGGCCTCCTGGCTGCTGGAAGGGTCCTTTGGGCAAATGAGGCAGCTCCCCCCTCCTCCAAAAGGGACCCCTCCCCTCCTAGATGGAGGGAGATGTAAGAGAAAAAGAGCTGAGTTGCCCTGAATTTATTTTTTTGAAACCTCCGTGTTTCAGTAATTCCTCCTCTCTCCACAAACTCATCAGAAAAAGAAGCACAAGAGGTGCCAAATTGGAAGTTGCTCAGCTGATCCCTAAATGTCACTGCTCAGAAACGTGTGTGCCCAGCATTAACTGTTCCCTCCCTGCCTACAGGCCCCGCGGTCAGGAGCCCGTCGAAGGAGCCCGGTGCGTTATTTGGGCTCCAGCCGCCGCCAGCTGCTCCCCGGGTCACTCACCTGCTTGGTGATGGATGGCTTGAGCGCAGAAGGCGCCTCCTTGGTGACCGACTGCTGGCGGGTGTGGGTGGGGGCGTAGCTGGGCTCGGGCTGCAGCAGGTTCCCGCTGGAGGGCCGAGGCTTCTGAGCCGCAGAAACCGTCAGCTGCTGGGACTTGCCCCGCTGCAGGGGGGGCTGTGGCTGAGGGGCGGGGGCCAAGCGCTGGGGCTGGGGGCCGATGGTGATCTGGGGCGGGGACAGCATGTTCTGGAGGTTCTCCTGCAGGGACAGCTGGCGCTTGGTGAACTCCGAGCCTTGGCGGGTGAACTCGTCACTGTAGCTGTGGCTGTGGATGATGTGCTTGCTGGTCGAGAGGTCCTCGCTCTTGCTGTAGCCATGGAAGGGGGCGAAGGTATCGGCAGGGTTGCCCTCCGCCTGCCGGTGTGGGTGGGAGGCGTGCAGCGGGCCGCCGGCCGGCCCGTCAGAGGCCATGTGGAAGAGGGGGTTCTGGAAGGAGAGCGGGATGCGGAGCTGCTGCGCGGAGGAGGGGCCGCCCCCGTCGGTGGTGACCCCCATCTGGCTCAGCCGCAGGCCGGCCGCGATGCTGGAGCCACTGCCCTGGGAGAGCCGGCTGGGCCGCAGACCCAGGCCGGCGGTGATGGAGGCCTGGCTGCTGTTGAGCAAGTCGCCTACGCTGTGCAGGTTGGAGACGCTGTTCATGCGGCTGTCCTGCAGGTCCAGCATGGAGACGCTCTTGTTGACGCTCAGCACCTTTTGGTCTGGCTCGGTGATGTCCGAGCTGCTGGTGCAGTAGGCGGGGGAGGAGCGGGCCAGGGGCGGCCGCGGCACAAAGAACAGCTCTTTGGAGCCCTTCTCCTTGGTCGGGGAGGGCAAGCGCGTCATGTCGATGGAGCTGCGGAGGGAAGCAGCGCGGAGAAGTGGTAAGGGCAGGAGGGAGCGGGGGGAGCTGCCAGGGCTGGGGTGGCAGGCCGACCCCAGGGGGCTCCGCACCACCTCTGCCAGCCTGTGCAGGATAGCCAAGGAACAAGGGGCATGAGGGCAGAGGGACTGAGCCGTATGCCCAGAGGGAAGAAAACTTCGATGCGGGACCCCAGCCTCCCGTGGGCCTCACCCTGCAGCCCTTACCTGTTCATGGCTCGCATCATGTAGGGCTGCATGTCAACTGAGCTGTGGGGAGAAATCCAGGGTCAGCCCAAGCGGGAAGCCCTCCAGGGCATCTTCACACCCCAAACCTCCCGTAGGCGCCTTGGGGAAGCCGTCCTCTGCGGGCTCTTGGCATTACTCACGAGGGGATCCAGCTGGGGCCCAGACCAGAGCCCATCCCGGTGGGGCCCACAGCTGGACGTCCACCCGTTTCCTGTCCTCCAGTGCCACACACACCCCCGCCCCATCCCAGGCCTAACCTGTTGAGGTCCCGCATCATGTACGAGGACTGCATGTCGGCCGAGGGCCCGCGGAGGATGACTGGCTTGGCTTGCAGCCGCTCGCCCTGGTGGCTGGGCTGCCGCTGGATGTGGGGGTTCCTGAGAGCGAGGCTGATTTCGTTCAGCAGACGGGGCAGCGGGCCCAGCTTCATCAGGGCTTCCTACGCGGGCAGGAAGCAGCAGACAGGCACTCAACCCCACCGCTGGCAAGCAGACGTGCGCAGCCCTCCCCCTCTGCCCTCTGCCTCCCTCCCCCCCACCTCCCGGCAGGCACCTTGCTGAGCTGGGGCAGGACCTCCCAGAGCAGAGCGTGCAGAGTGGAGAGCTCCCGGCCGAGATCAATGTAGCCCTCGAAGCTGCTGCTGTTCGTGAGGGTGTCCAGGTTGGAGATCTCGTACAGGAACTGCTGCATGCTGGCCCACTCCAGCTCCAGGAACTCGTTCATGAACGCCATGTACTCCTCCTTGCTGCCAAACCTGCCACCAGAACCATGTGGTTCATCACTCACCGCGTGACTCCAGTTGGGCCCCTCCGTTTGCCCACCCGGCCCTCCCCGGAGGGCCCAGCACACCCTGAAACACAAAGCACAGCAACAGCCCTGTGCAGTGCCAGCCTGCCACCCCCTCCAGCCCCTCCAGGGGGAACCGGCATTTGCCACCAAGGTAACAGTCCGCAAGCAGCACACCGAGAAAGAAGGGCCAGGGGTATTTGGAAAGAAATGCATCCCCCAAACTGCGTGTTTGGGGTGCTTGAATGGACTGAACCCCTCCCCCTTCACTCTTTCCACCTTGTGAGATGCAGGCAAGAGCTCCCAGCTTGAGCAATAAGGGTCCCCTGAGGCCATCCGTTCCACCTGTTTCCACCATCTATCTGGACACTCGCTTCCTCTGCCCGACTCCACCTGCCCACACCTTCAGCTGGGGTCCACCTCCCCGTAACCCTGATCCAAGCCCATCCCCAGGACAGGGAGTGGCATGGCCTTGGCTGTTGCCTACTTCACCCTTGCGGGCATTTCAAGAGGGGAGCCGGGTCCCCCTCTCAGTCTCCCTTCTCCGCCTCCGTCGGTTCCCTCCTTGCACTCGCCTTTCAGAGGGACCTGGCTGCTTTCTGGGCCTCGAGGGACCCCTCCCCACAGGGCCAGGGGCACAAAATCTAGGTTCTTGGCTGAAGCCAGAGACAGAGGGAGCCTGGCCACACTGCAGGGAGGGGCTCTCCTGCCGAGCTCTGCCCTGGAGCTCTGCACGGGGTGGATGGTGGGAAACTCACTCCCAGCACCCTGGGTGTATCTGGCTCAGCTGGCTTGCACACCCCCTGGCGCTCACTGCCTCCTGGCCTCCTCTACACTCACTTGGAGAAGTTGGCCAGGTTCTGGATGACCTTGGCGATGAGTGTGAGGGTGCGGGACGTCTGCTCGTCCGGGTACTCCTGCAGCAGGCCGAAGAGGCTGGGGGACATGACGGCCGGACACAGGAAACGCAGGAAGAGGGAGGCGCTGATGAGGCGGTCGGCAATGTCTTCCCGGCCCCTCTCGGCACAGCGCAGCCGCCACGATGCAAAGACCTCCTTCAGCTCCCGGGGGAACACGCTGGGGGAGGGGGGCGCAGGGGGGACAGGATCACTGCCTGCCCCCGCTGCAAGGCTGCCCCACACCCCTCCCAAAATGACCGCCCCTCTCCACTTCCCTCCCCACAGCCAGACATGTAGGGGAAAGGGGCAGCCCTGCACTGACCAGTGGGAGTTGACCACTTTGCAGAGGGCCAGTTCGCAGCACATGCGGAGGTTGGCCTGGTGGTCGGCCAAAGTGGAGGCCGAGCACTTCATGGGGTCCACCTCGCAGTTCTCCTCAGACTCGTACAAAGCTCGGATGAACTCACCTAGGAGGGAGGGCAGAGCAGGGAATGCGACCAGCCGCTCCCCACTCAGGCACCCACTGGCTCAGCCCCACAGAGGGGCAGGTTAGTAGGGAGGAGCCCCCCTCCATGTTCAGGGGAGCTGCAAGGCCTCCCTCTCTGGACTTTCCCCGGAGGAAGACAAGCCGGCAGAGCCAGAAAAAGAACAAAATCTAACCCAAATTCCTATGATTACCCCTCCCTCTCCACCCAGGGTTGTGGGCTGCTCCCCGCCCCCCAAGCGTCCTCCCTCCTCCAGTGCCCCTACCAATTGCATCCTTGAGGTATTTTTGTCCAATCAGCTTGAGATACTCCTCTATGGCTTTGGTGGCCAGCGTGTTCTCCCGGAAAATGAGGTGTTCGCGGTCCATGAAGCGGTCCACTTCCGTCATGGCCATGTCGGACAGGAAGTCCTGCCAGGAAGGGGCGGAAGAGAAGCTGCAGGAGCCATGCTTGCCCCCTGGGCTCCCGGGCCCCTTCCCTACGGGGCCCTGCTCGCCTCCCCGCCCCACTCCCAGAGCATACCTTGGCCTTGCCAGTGCTCTGGAGGATGTGCACCAGGGCGCAAGCCACCTCCTCCTTGCTCTTGACGCTCATGACGGGCTCCAGGACAGCGCACAGCATGCGGTAGTTGTTGGTGACGTACTCGGCGAATTCCTTGTAGAGCTCCATGGGCAGGATGCTCATGGCCTGGAAGCGGCTCTTGACCCGGATGGCCGGGCAGCCGGCCTTGCTCTTGCTGGAGCTGGGCTGGCTGAGCGGGTACCACTGCTCTGCGAAATGGCGCCCGGTGACGCTGGCGATGGGGATGCTGACCATGCCCACGTAGTTGCTCTTGTCCTTCTTACGCTTCTTGTCCGTGTCCTTGTAGAGGTGCAGCCGGATGGTGCGCACGGCTGGCAGGTTGTTGAACTCAAAGTGCTCCCCCCAGAAGACGTTGTCCGTGCGTATCTTGCTGGTGGTGCGCGCGTAGAGCATGTCGTCCAGGCACAGCTCGCAGTAGTAGCGTTTCTTGGGGGGCAGATCCCGGGCCTCAATGATCCAGAGCTTCAGCACATTGTCCACCCGCCGGCTGTTGTCCTGCGCAAAGAGCAGGAGGAAGGAGGAGGGGGTGCTGGGCTGGTGCTCCAAAACAGGGCTCTCCAACCTTGGCCCCTTTAAGACGTGTGGACTTCAACTCCCAGAACTCCCCAGCCAGCACAACCAATACACTGACCAGCACAGCTGGCTGGGGAATTGTGGGAGTTGAAGTCCACACGTCTTAAAGGGGCCAAGGTTGGAGATCCTTACTCCAGCCAGGTGACACAGACAAGCAGGAGGGCTCTCCTTCCCTCCGGAGCCCCTCCCTCTCCCCACACCCACAAGAGGTCCAGACATCTCCAGCCCAGCATAAGCCCCCCCCCCCGCTCTCTCAGCTCCCCCAAACCAAGGCCCCCTCCCAGTCTGGCCTCGCCCTGCTGTGCACACCTAGCCACCCCGTCCCTCCAGTGCAGGACTGGGGCCCTCTGCCAAAGAGATGGGCTCTCTATGGTGCACCAGGAAGCACCTCCCTTCCATTTCCTCCAGCTTGTTAACGGACAGGAGGATAAGCTGTTGTAGCTTTGTTAACTTTTATTCCTCTGCTTTGAGTTTGTAATTGATTTATTGCTACGTGGAGGGGAGGGGGAGCCCATATCCTCCATCTCAGAAGCAGCAGGAAGAATCTCCACTATGAGGTGGGCTAAAAATAGCACAAGGGAGGAACAGGCAGGAGGCTGGACAGAAAAGGACCCAGAAGCAGCTACAGCCCAAGAGCCAGAAAAATCTCCAGACAAGGGGTCATAAGAGACTATCCAGATCAATGTCTTGCCCATCGCTATCAGAGTCCATTTTCTACTCAACCGCCTCCAGCAAAACCACCTGTGTGCTGTTGAGGGCCAACGCCCTGCTATTAGCCATTTTCTCCTGGTGTTTGGGGAGGAGGGCAACCTATTTCCTTGTAAATTAAACGCAGAGCTGCCCCCCCCCCCGCCGTTTTGTGGGAAAACCCCTCCCCCCACCTCGTCTTCTACTGGCAGCTACTCAAAGATGGCTGTTGTGTCTCCCATCTCCTCTTCCTCAGGGAGGACATGCCCAAGGGACTTCCGGCCGGGCATGCCAAAGGTTTCCCGGCACGTTGCTGGTTGCTCTCAAGACCCCACCCAGCTTGCCAGTGAAGCACACCGTGTCTGGAACTGGGCCCCACGTTCCAGGTGTGGCCTAATCCACCCGAGGAGCAGCCGCATCTTAAAGAGTCTTGGCCTTTTGACTCCTGTTGTCTGCAGAGTTTCTCCGTCACCCAGGTCATGGCTGCCCCAAAGGTGCTTTTCCAAGAGGCAACTGGGGTTCCTCGGTTTCTTCCTTTGGCTTCTGATGGCGCAGCCAAGGGTGGCCCTGGCTTGTTCACCGCTGCATCCTGCTCTTGGCGCATGCGCCACTTGTGGTCTTCCCACGTTCTTTCTGCAGATACCCGCCTGCTTATCACCCCAACTTGCACTCGTGTCCCTGGTTTTTCATTTGTCCCTGTTGGAATTCCTCGGGTGAGTTGCTGCCCCTTGTTCCAGCTTGTCCAAATCCTCCTGAATTGTGATATTCTTCTATGGAGTGTGTTACTCTGCCCAGGTCAGCACCCTCTACAGCTTCAGCAGCCACATTTTCTAACAGCCCATCCTAACTTATGAAATTACGGACTGGCAGAGAGCCCAGAAGACAGCTGGGGGGGGGGGGGGTGTGCAGCAGTCAACATTCCTCTGCTCCCTCCAGCTTGGCCAGAAACCTCAGTGGTTCTTCCTTGAGTTCAAAGGTTCGTCCAGCACCAGGTCCGCCTAATGGTTAACATCCAGCCCTGTTTTCTCATCTTCTCTGCTAGGATCTTGTGGAAGCTTCAAATGTTCTGCTGAAGTCCAAGAGAGACTGGCTTGCTCTTGATCAGAGTAGCTGACTCCCCAGAAGAAGCGTCCTTTCTTCTCTGAATATCATCGTGTGCTATCCGGTCTCTTGGCACCATATACAGAAGCATCCATCCATCCCCAACTTGGTCAACCAATCAACCAAACAGAATAGAGCCCCCGTGAGATACATGAAAGCGGAGACTAAATAGACACAATTGAAGTGCATCGCGTAGTAATAGGACAGAAATGGCTTCCTTCATTTTCATTTGTTTTTAAACTTCCAAATCAGTCCTATATCCCAACAATGAAAGAGGTCAACGTTTCGGGGACTTCCGGTTTGGGCTTCTTCGGCGACAGACTGAAATCCACGATCGTGCGTGGTTTCGATCCGTGCTCATCACCGGAGCTCCCTGATCCTTTGGATTTGGGGCTGAAGCCACCCCATAGAGGTGGCGAAGAGCGGGGAGACTGCTAGCTAGGGGAGCCGTATCTCTCCTCCTCGGCTGGTCTAAACTCCCTTTCCCAAAGGTGGTCGCAGTGGTGGTCAGAAATGGCCACCTCAAAAAAGAACCCGACCGGACAAGAATGAGCAGGAGGAAGACAAAAGGGGATTGCAGGACAGACCGGGATAAGCAGAGACAACATCTAAGCAAGGCACCCTGGATTTAAAAGTATTAAGAGTGCTATTCCTAAAAGATTTAAAGCGGCGGAGGAGAAAAGGAGGGAAAAAATCCTTTTTTCTATTTTTATATTGACAGTTACAATTGGCTTTGAATGTTACAAAGAAGAAATCTAAGTAAGAAATTTGTGATAATTTACTTTGACACTAATAGGCAATCTTAAGCTGAAATTAAAGTGTCAAAAAGAAAAGAAAGACTTTCTGGATACTCTAAAGCCCTTAAAAAGAGAAGAGTGGAGGAAAAAGGGTGGAACTTGGAAAGAATAATGGAGTGTCACCTGGAAATAAAAGGGATTAACAGTGAAACTTTGAAAATACTTCCAAAAGATACATTGTAACTGAAACTTTATTAAAAGGTAACAGAACCCCTGGAAAGGAAAAGTAGAAGAAAGAAACAAGAAGAAACAGCTTTGGATTAATTGGTGATTTTTAAAATTTTGGGTGTTGGATCTTTTATTAGTCAATCGGGTGGTTGTTTAAAAGTGCTTAAAATGGTATCACTCCTTGAGGAATAAAAAATGGAACTTAAAAACAGAAAGAAGATGCACAAGAGAGAAGAGGATCTTTTGGCTTCATATTTCAATTTTTAGAAATGGAGATTTTGAACTATGAAAAACAACAAGAAGTGCTAGAAGAAGTGCAAGAAGAAGAAGAAGAAGAAGAAGAAGAAGAAGAAGAAGAAGAAGAA